AAAATATAGGCTATTGGTACACTGCTAATGGCAGTGTGTCTTTATAGGATCTGACTGTACAATACGGACTAGTACAGCTTATAAAAGTGGAATAATTTCATGGCATATTGTAGGCATAAATTAACAACCAATCAGGGCATTCCTTGTTTGGCAGTCTGTGGTAGTACGAAAATATTCTTATTTCCAGACATTGTTTTTACATCAAGGCTAAGTCTCATGAAATCTACAACAGCAAAGGAAATGATGAAAATTACATTCAAATAGGAATGTTTGTCACAAATGAAATCAAATACACCAGACAATAATTTTACAGCTGCAAACAATTCAGCATCTTCAATGCATTCGTGGCAATATGTTCCATTGCCAAATATTAAGACCTCCTGTGAGTGGTCTGGACAAACCACTTAGGTGTGATGAAAAAATACTCATCCTATAATGAAACCTAAAAATGGAATAATGAGAAGAAAAAAAAAAAATTGCAAGACATAATAAATCAAAAGGCAGTGAGAGGCAGGGTGATGGCAAACAAACAAACAAAACAAACTGGAATGGACTGTATTTTTGGAGCAGCACAAAGTGACCTGATGGTCTTAAAATTTCAATGCCACAGTAAATGTCTTTATCAATAGGCACTTTAGAATTCAGTTTAATTGGCGGTCTTTTTCCAAAATGGCACAGCAGCACAATGCATATTGAACCAAGGCGTGTTGGACAGCTTCCAACCAGCCAAAACTAAGTGGATGTTCATGTCCAGTGGAGAGGATGAGGGAGCTGAAGAGGCATACCCCCAGCAGAGTGGATCTGTTGGTAGGTCCGGGCAGAGCATGGGGAATTTAAGCAACTGTTTATAAATGGCTTTCTTATGACGATTTCTCTTTCCTTGCTCTTGGTGAATCATGAGCATGAACTCCATTTACTCCATTAGCTGAAAACAAAACAATTTTTAATACATTATATATTTGTGTACTACCCTATTGCCATATACCTAAAGCACCTAGTTTTACCTTTGTCTTTCTTTGATTTTCCCTTGTTGATAACCTGCTTCTTCTTGAGACTCTGGGCTTCAGCGTGCTCTCTCCACCGGCGCAATTGGAATTTGATAAATTTCAACATCATAAAGGCTTGGGTGAGGCAGATGGCAGCGAGCACAGTGATCCTATACAAACAAAAACAACATAGAAACGTTTACTCCAGACTATGAAGACAATGTATAAAAATGTACTGTTGCAATCCAAATATATGACCACAGTTAGTTTCACAAAACTAAACGCTTCATCAGTTTTCACATGTGACTAGAATTAGCATCTGCATTTCCCCTTTTTAGACAGTTTACAGTTCTATTAACAAAGATGTGCACATTTTCTATACACTGCAATAAATTAACTTAAGTTTGCTCTAAAATGTAGGTAGGCAAATATTACAGACAATAGGGTAAAGTATATGTCCTTATAGTGGGTTATATGTGCCAAACTTAATGTAAAGTTCTAGCACACTACTCACTTACTCACCTAACAAAGAGTATATTAAAGTTTCCTGCAGCCCAGTCGAAGCCTTGGTTCTCAGCATTGGCGAGGCCAAATCCAACCGTGAGGACAGACAAGGACAGAGTGAGTAGTCGCCCAAGGACAAACAAGACCGCCCACAAGGTGAACCTAAAGTGCACAAGATGATTTTTACATTGCAGTCCATTCAATCTATGCTTTATTTTGTACATTAAATACTTACCCCATTTGTCGATTCTCATTACTGAAGTAGATCAGGCGAGAAACATGGAAAAGCAGCTCAACAAAGTAGTGCAAGACCAGCAAAACCAGGCCCAGGCGATTCAAGCTATAGACAGAAACAGTCAAATTTTGCAACTACAAGACTTTCATGTTCAAACTACCATTACTCATTGCATAATTCTGAACTCAGGAAACCAAAATGTTGCAATCATTAAATAAAGGCGTCTAGAAAAGAAAATCTTACTTCAAAATGTAGGCGCCTGCAATGTGGACCAGGTAAAGAAGGATGTACACAAGCTGACGTGGAATATCCTCCTAGAACATAGGCAGACCGAATAGCAGGTCAAAATATTTACAAAAGTGTGGCTTGGAACAAAAGGAGAAAACTTTTGAAACAGTATGGCATAAACAAGGAAGATAATCAGGAAATGGCCCAAGAAAATATAAAAGGGCCTGTTAATTTTTCCAAAATAACTCACTTTCTTTGTTTTCTGAAAGTAGAGTTCAGGAAGAGCATGTAACCAGTAGCCCAGCTGACAAATGTAGAAGAACTTCATTTGAAATCTGAATGGAGGGTTGACACAAAACATAAAAATTGGTTACACATCTACAATCAAACAAAGCAAAGCCTGTCTAAGACTTTCTGCAAATGCATGAAGTACAGTAAAGAAGCGAGTGCACTTACGGCATCAAAATGTGGGGATAATCTTCCCAGAGGGTGACGGGGTTAGATAAAAAGTTTTCCTAAGGACAGAGAAGCAGTTCAGTGATTTAAATCAGCCTTTGGGGTTGGCCAGACTGTTATAATGAAAGGCTTTTTTGTTACACTTACAGATACAAGGATGCTAGCTCCCCAGCTGAACGAAAACAGATAGAAGGCACTGAGCTGTCCAGACTCATTGAACTTGCTGTGCTTTGTTTTGGAGAAATGCTTCTTCTTGTTAATTTTCTACAAATTTAAAACAATACACAAGTCACAATGAAATATTTTTTTGTTGTAAGTTTTATAAGTTTTGTTATTTTGTTGAGTGAGCACCCATCCATTTAAATGTGGTTACATTACTCACATCCAACACATATTCCTGGATGATTGCGTGCATGATGATAGCCACCAGCATGTAGAAGAAAATTGTGGCCAAATCTTTCACACCATGTTGAAAATGGTTAATAGTCGTCTGCTCTGGGCCTTCTGTAAAGAGAAAGTGTAAAAATCTTTAGTATTTTTTAAAGTGGAGCAAATGAAAACTCTGCAAGAATGTAATTTACTTATGACAAAAGACCGTTCTGTGTGACCCTTCCGTTTGTTTTAATTGCTTGACAAAAGCATGTCAGATATCAAATGTAAATTATGTATCCAAAATTTGCATGGACCAACAAGTACAAACTCAACTTTTCACACCTACTTCTATAAAATTATGTAAAACAAAAAATACAAAGTTACAAAAGGCACTGCATTATTTGTCGTTTAAACATTCTGTAAATAAGTAACAGGAAAGGTAGGGACATGGTAAGATATCAGATAAGTATTACACCATCTGTCAGCATTTTGCAAACCACAAGCACTGGGCTTGCACTTACGCATAGCAAGTCAAAAGTAATGAAGCCGATAACCTGGCCTGCATCATCCACAACCAGTCACAAGTGAACTTAAGTCAGGGAAACTATTTTTAGCTACAGAACAAAAAGGAGCTCCAAGATTGGTTTTGCAAAAGCAGTAATACTCTATAATTACAAGAGAACAAAAAGACTACAGATTTGTTTAAACAACATTTTTAACATTTTACTTACCATTTGTTGTTATTGTGACATTGTGCTGGATGGTTATGAAGCACACCGCAAACTTTGAGGTTATCTGCAAACCAAGAGAAGATTTTAACAACCACTCCTTTAATTTAATTTAAACATTTATATGAAAACAGGTTTTCAAATAACATCACAACAAACAAGTTGATCAAAAAAACAAAAAACAAAAAAAAACAACACTTTCTTTACACATTAAACAGAGGTTTAAGTGTTCGTAATCATGTGCACAATAGTCTGTTGTATAATAGGAGTTAGTTTGCACAAATAGACTGTTGCTTTAATTTCATTATCAATGTTGTCTACTTTAAAATGTAAATGATCAGCTCTTATCATCCATACTCTAAATTCAGTCATATTTTACATTAAAATGCAGAGTTGTCACTTGTTCAGGAATATATACATTTTGCATTAGTAAAACTATAAACAAAGTACATCAGTCCACTACTGGTGGACAGTGCTAAACGTAGAGCAAAAATTTCTAACGCACAATAATAATTTTATTTTGAAGAGTTGAAAACGGAAGTAACAGTCTTTTAGTTTAGCTTAATGGTTATAGCGCCCCTTTGCATTGACGAGGAAACACTAAGAACAGGAGTAACCCTGAGAGAAAGTAGTAAAGAAATGTTGTTTAAAGTGGTTTTGTTAAAATCGACAGAGCTCGACTGAGTAGATGCTGTATGGGTTTTTAACATTAAGCCCTCAAGTCAGAAGCTAGTTTCGGTTTTGCTTTAGTGATGACAGTCCTCTAGCTCGCTCGTTGTGTGATTGCCACGTAACACATCTGTGCGTAAAGAAAGTCTGACTAGTCTTGATCCATCATGTTGCATTAAAGCCAATAACAACTTCAAATTCTTTCGGTGTGCACGTAAAACAATAACAACAAAACCAGTTTCAATACCTACAAAAACTTTGGCTCCCGAGAGGAAGTAGAGTAAAGAAAAGATCAGACAGCCATGTCAGTTTCCAGAAGAAGCGGTTGGAAACATTCGCGTGCGGACTCTTGAGTGGACTGGATCCCAATAAAAATGAGTCAACATGTGAACGGGACTTACCTCAAACATCAGCCCAAGGAGGAAGACCATCGCAACACAGGAGACGATATCTGCATGGTTTTGGATCACAAACTCGTGGCTCATCACCGGCGGATTCTTGTTCGTGGTCTTTTTTCGGATCCCCATCTCGGACAAATTTGGTGCAACTTTGGCTTCTTTTCTTGTATATGAAGTCGCTTCCTGTAAAAAAACAGTTTTTATCTCTTTTTGAGAGAACGTTGTATATACCCTCTGCTTCCAACAAGCATCAGAGGCGAACAGCGGCGATTGAATGGCGTGTCACTCTTCTGCTGATGGGAGGGTCCACACAGAGGGAGCCGCTACGCCTTTACGCACAGGAGACAAACAACTGCAGTGGCACTCTAGCGCTACCTACGTGCACGGAGTAGAAGGAAACATGGCATTTGAACATATTTTTGTGTGAAACTATTTTGTTCTTATCTAGTCCTTGTTCTTTATTGGTTTTAATAAACTACAAATAAGGCCTTTACCTACCAATTAACCATAGTTAATAAGTTTGTATGCTAGATCAGTACTTCCTTTAACATTTGCTCGTCTCCGGTAAGCAGTAAACACACCCATAATCAAAAGTTAGTTCGTGACGTATGATTATGTAATGACATATTTCTGGTCTTACAGTTTGCTCAGTTCTTCCTGAGGTGGAGTCTCTCACCATTTCTGTGAAAATGTGCTGCTGTTGGGACCAGCTCTTTACTGCAGACCAAGCTGTGGTAAGTAAATAATACAATAACTTTATTTTATGTATATATGGCAACGAGAACAATGAGAAAAATCTTTAAATGATAACTGTAGTAGTTGAAAGAACTAACATGTAAGCAGTTCAGTTCTATCTACTTGCCTAAGAATTTTTGAATGGAAAATGGCTGAAAATAATATTGATAAAGTTAAGGTTTTCATTTCTGTTCTTGTGATCTTTTACTTCTGGTAATTTATTCATTGTTTTTGTAGTTTTATCTGAACAGGTTTGAACAGGGAGTGGGTTGTAGTGCAAAAGGTCAGCTTAGCATATCAGATTTACCTTTGCAAATATTGTTAGTTATAAATACATTTTTATTTTGCATACGAACAACATTGTCTTAACCTTGTTTCTCTTTCTTTAACAGACATCCACATGGATTTAAAAAGCCAAGAACTACAACACAGCTCTCATGGCTTCCCTGTAAACATGTGATTATATTACACAACCATGTCTACCTCGGACTTTGAGTACACTAAGCTGAGATGGTTCCTAACCATAGCCGGATTGTTCCTATACGCTGCAGACATTTGGACGGACATTTGTCTCACACTAACATATTACCAACAAGAGCATTATTTATGGGCTGGGCTGACCCTTGCTTTCATTTTGACTGGACTGCTGGTTGCTCAGATCTTCAGTTTTGCTTGGTACTGGGATGACATGAATGACTTTTTTATAAATCCAAATGGAAAAGCAACCAAAGCCGGCCTGTCCAAAAGAGGACTGGGTGCACTTCACTTTTTTGGCCTGGGAATCTTCACCAGGTAAATTACAGTAATTAAGTGAGCAATATTTCAACACTGCCATGATCAGTGTTTCTCAAATTGTGGTGTGGGCCCCTTTAGTTGTAAATGGAGATGTATACGGGGTCCTTAACATTTCTAGTTCTTGTTGGATTTTTAGTATATTTTAATTCTATTTTTATCATATGTCAAGGGTTGAGATTTTGCACTGAATGCTAACAACAGTGCAATATACTGTGGAATGAGCAAACTGGAATGATCACTTT